AAATTGGTTACTAGTTGAAATTGCTTATATTATTAAAAGATTATTTCGTTACACGCATCAAGAAACTATTCTATCAGTTATTTATAAGGATAATTTAAACACATGTATCAAAGAAATGATTATTTCACTTGCCAATAAATATGGCAAATTGAATGCTTTACATGAAACTGAAAAAGAAAATTTGTTTAAAGTTTTAGAAAAAGAAGGAGATAATTTATTGTCTTTAGGTAAGGTTAACTTTATTTACATGTATAACAATAATAAATGAAAACGGGCCAGACTTGACACCGCCGCAGAACAGACCGATAAAACATTTGCTTGAATAGTGCGGCTCCGAATTAAGTTAAGCCTGGCTCTTTGCTTAAATTCGATAGGGTCGGATCCGCAGCTACATATATAGTTTCCAGTACTTGCCAAGTTCTAAACACACTCATGAAATATCTTAGGTCTATACAAGAGTCTCAAGGTCAATACAAAAGATAGATAGAGCACTCGCTGACATTAAGTGTCAATAATTTTTTAATTTAAAAATATTATAGTAAATTCATTTTTACTATTTTTCCTTAAGATAAGAGAATAAACAATAAAGAAATTCGTTGGAATAGCTTGATGATGTTATTAAAGTTGCGAACATTTTTGGAACTGTACAAACCATTATCACAAAAATTGGGATATTTTGATAAAGAATATGACAAAAAAATTGAAACAATCGTCGACAAAATTCAACTGTGTATAAATGACCATAAAGATTGTATTAATCGCACAAGAAAATTTAATACCCACAAATATATTAATAAAATAGATAAATTTGAAGGTGGCTGGAATGGAATTATTAAAAAATTTGTAGAAGATAAAATTGGTATTGAAATTGTAAAAGTTTCAGTAGTTGAAGGTCTTCAATACATTGGGGTTGATATGGAGATGTTCGAGGGTTTAGAAAGGGAGGGGAAGAGGTATAAAACAAAAATGTTAACAGATGAAGTAAGCTAATTTATATGAAGTTCTTCAAAATTATAATTAAATTTGTCAAAAAATATAGAAAAATAAACCACTTAATCCCTCTATGTTATTCTTACTCCTTACAATCGTCGATATCTACCCCAAATTCTTTAATCTCTATATCCCTCTATACCCCCAAACTCATAATGTCACTCTCGATTATCAAAAGCCGACGATATCCTTCTTAATCTTAAATCGGGAATCATGTGATTTTGAAGGATTGAGGAGATACTTTGAAATTGATTCGAAAATCATACCAATACCGTCGCAATATTTGTATACTAAAAAGACCAAGTCGTTAATAATAATATAATACTAGTACTGCGGTAGTAGTGAACGGTTCTAAGTCAATATTGTGATAATAGCAACTCCTTTTGCTGTGTTGGAAAACGATCAAGGGATTAGAGGAATATATGTGGATATTTAGGGGTTATTTGATTTAATTATCCACCAAAACACAAAATTTTAAATTTAAAATAAATTGTATTCTAAAAAATTAACCCGAGGGACGAAAAATTATTCTCAGCTTATAATAATTAGTATTTAATATATTTTTTAAAGGAAAGAAAAATAAGAGCCAAAATTATTGAAATGTTTTATTACGGGGAAAAACATAGTGGACTTCAGTCAAAGATTGCACGGGATCTTGGAGTAGATCGAAAATATGTTCACTATACTATTGAAAGGTTTAAAATGTATGGAACAATAGAGAACATTCCATTACCAGATAAGAACTACCGTAGAAAAAAGGATGAATTTTCAAGTGATAATTAAAGTGATATTTTGGATATTTTTCGATAAAATGGCAGGTTAACCTATTTTATAGGGAACCGATTTTGATGTTTTATTTATTCACTTTTTGTCACCTATTATGGGTATTTTTCGATAAAGTATTATTTGTAATAAAAATTCTTAACAAACTTAAAATTTTCAAAAAATTTATCAAATTTTCTAACAAACCCAGAAAATTTTTTAAATTTTTTGAAAAATATTTTTCCAAGAATTAAAAAATTTTTTCTCAATTATTAAGATGGTGAAAAATAGTTATTAAAATATCTTGAAAAAAACTCATATACTCTTCAGAAATTCATCCAAAAAATTCGGATCATCTAAAAAACTCAAATCTAACTCATCCATATCATCCTCTTTTTGAATATTATTCCCATCTTCTTCTTCTTGAATAATTCCTTGATCTAACTGCACGTTCTCTTTGGTAACCAATGGCTCTTTTCCGTTACCTTCACCATTATTACTCATTGTATTATCAAGAGAAGTTCCTTCCCCGTTATCAAACAGACTGTTTGCCAATTTTGAACAATCATTTTCTGAAATTTTTTCAACATTCTTTTTTAACCGATATTTTCGAGCACGTTCAAGTATCTTTTCTTTATTATTTTGATAGTAGATCTGATCATGTACACGCCTATATTCTTTATTATTTTTATAATAATTTCTCTTATATCCTTGGAACCTTTCCTTATTCTGCTGGTAGTAATTTTTATTTTGTTCTTTTTTCTTAAACTTTTTTTCTGGTTCGTCAATTGGTTTTAATAACTCTTTGTCTTTTTGAATTTGAGGAGCAACCGACGATTCTGCACCATCATTTATTATTTTATTTAAATCCTCTGAGTTTTCCTCATTTCTTCTTGATTCATTTTCTAGCCGATTCTTCTGATTAACAAAAGAATTCGGAGGCGGTTGTGTCGGACTCTGCAAAAATCATTTGCTGCTGCAATCTCCTTAGGAGAGTGCAGCAGCAAATGATTTTTGCAGAAATGCTTTTTGTGGACATATTCAGGGTGACAAGAAAGCTCGGAGTGATAATTTGTCACCATAACTTTCTGTACACCTAATATTTTTAAATAATTTTATACTCACTCACTTCACTCCGAACTTTCTTGTCACCCTGTAGACAGCGAGTTGGACTTTTACCGTCTGTGGAATATCAAATAAATTTCCTTCTCCTTTATCAAATTGTAGTTCGTTTTGTAGAATTTCTTTTTCATTTTTCTTATTTAAGCGGTATTCTCGTTGATATTCTATCAATTTTTCTCTATTATTTTGGTATTGTTTTTTTCTATATTGGCTCCGTTTTTCTTTAAAATTTTCATTTTCTTTATTTTTTAAATAAAAATTTCGTTGATCCTCACATAACTTTTCCTTATTTTTCTGGTAGTACTTTCGTATAGTTTCCTTTCTTTTTAACTTTTTTTCTTCTTCATTATTTCCAGTTGGTTTCTTCTTTGTTATTTTTGGTTTTATTTTTAATGTTTCTTCAGATTTTTGAATTTGAGGATTAACCGACGATTCGGCCCCATCATTTATTTTATTTAAATCCTTTGAGGTTTCCTCAACTCTATTCAACTCGTTTTGATTTTTATTATTTTTAACAGAATTAATTAAACTCCATAAAATCGAATTGAAAATTAAAAAGATTAAAACATTAATAAATTTCATTCTAAATTAATTTTTAAATCTGGAGTAAAAATAAAATTATTAACATAAATTTTTTAACGTTTTATACAAAAAAATGCTAGAATTTGTTTTTAATTTAAAACGGATATGACTTTTTTTAAAGACAAGACGCGCATTAAAAGTATTTAGATATCCTTGTAAAGGTCAATAAATCTATCTAGTTATAAAGTGACGATAAATAAATTGAGAAATTGTATTACATCATATCCCGATTTAATTAAATCAGTGAAATATGTAGTAATAACAAGTTACACTAAATTAAAATTTGAAGATCAGTGTATTATACAAAAGTGTATCCGTAGCCAAACATTAGCGACATTTGGTTTAGACTTATAGGAAAAAAGTCGTAGCTTACATTAGAATATAATTCGTATTATTTATAAAATTTAATTTTTTATTTACTTTTTAAAATTACATAATTTATGGAGTTTAATTAATTTTGTTAAAATAATAAAACTCAAAGGGTTTGAAGAAAATAAATGTAGCTGAATCATTTGTCGATACTAAAGACCTTCATAAAAGATGATTGTGAAGAAATTATCCGATTGTTTACAAAGGTAACATTCAATTAGATCAAGGAAATCGTTTTCATCAAATAGAAGCTAGGTCTTCAATTAAGCACAGTCTCTAATAGAAGCACACCCTGCGAGAGGATCGAAAAATAGAAGAAGGCGTGCTTCAATTAGAGAATTTAAGGTATATTATTTTCTCAATATTAAGCATATTTAAATATAATTTCGCCTTTTACACTTTTGGTGTGCCAAAATCAGATCCCCAAGCTTCAATCTTGCATTCATTACTTCCTTGGGCAATCATGAATACTCCATTCTTTCCCCATTGTTTTCCCCATGAATTAATAGCAAGCCAAAATTGTTGGACATTTCCTGAACATGTTTGAGTTCCCCAACCAATTATTCGAATTGAGTGTGAGGATATAAAATTGCCATTAGTCCTCTTAAATTTAATTAATTGTGCTTAAATTTCACATAAAAATATATTTTTATTTTTACTAGCGAAGAGACTCGCCCTTCGAGCGAGTTTCTTCGCTAGACTAAAACAATGCAACCTCTTGCTATTTTATCAACTATTGCCGGAATTTTATCTAAACCATGATCTAAACCATAGTGTCATTAATCACGAAGCGCTTCTCACGATCAAGAGGAAATTTTTTTCTATCAAGAACTCTTTCCATTCAAAGGCAGCACATCTTATCTACACATTCCGGGGCTTTTATCTACACTTTGCTGGAACTATTATCTACCCATTGCCATTATCTACCAATTGCTACCCATTGTCTTAACTCATATAAAAATTGCCAGAATTTTTATCTACCCATTGGCAGGATAAGGCAGGTTAAGCAATATATTACCTTATATACTCCTTCTCCATAATGGTAGAAATCAGAATAAACATCAATCGCAGCCGTAATTGTACCGTTTGCTTTAATTTCATCTTGCATTGCCTTAACAACCTCAGTAATTTTCTTATCCCCTGGAATCCCTCCAGTCCATATTACTAAAGATATTTTAAGAATACGAGTGATATAAATAAATACCAAATTTTTTATCATTTTTATATGGAATTGACCATCCTGAATTGGTACATTGCGAGACACATTTAGGTGTAGGAACTGGACCATCAGTTTCTGGATTGATTGAGTAAGGCTTGCAACCAGTTTTTTCTTCAAAATTTGATCCAGAGACAACACCTTTATTTTTCATGTATTGCCATGCATCCCATGGAGCTCCTCCATTACACCTAAACATGTTTTTATTAAGTAAATTTTTTAAGCCTCTAACCCGTAATTTGGTAATGTACAGCTTAGTATTTCCTCATCAGATGATTGATTATCAGGATCAGAGACTGGCGTTTTTAAGCCTTTCTTAGCTCTCTCAATACAGTACCGATCAGTAAACACAGATGAACTTGCAACTGCCCAACACCCCGAACATTGGCCCTGTTCTCTAATAATGTTAATTATATCTGCACATTGTGGCCATTGTTTTCTTGAATCAAATTCGATATTGTATTTACAGGAGGGATTTGAACGCTTTGATCGTATTTTGCTCATTTTATTAAAATCCGGTATAGCTGCAGGAGTCTTGGGTGATTTTGACTTTAGACCACAATATAATTTTTTAACGTCTAATGTCATATTTGCAAATTTTTCGTTTATTTTTGCCTGAATAAAATATTAAATTAAAGCATTACTAAATTACCTTCCAGGAAAAATCGAGTAAATTAAATGATTCAACAAAAGATTCAAGATCTTTATCGATATCAAAGTCTAACTCAAAATTTTTTTCAAACATATCAAATTTATCAGATTGAAAAGTATCTTGTATGAGACAAAACAATACAAAGGTAAGAAGACAATGTTGTACATTCTGAAACAACTCGAATTTGTTATTTAATTGTAATCATTTTTAAACAGCTGTCAATAATTCCCTTTCTTAAAATACCAAATATGAGGATTGGCCAATCAAACCAAAAAACCACTTTTATTTTAACTTTACTTTTCCTTATCCCGTTTTTTTATTTGATAAGTAAATAAAGAAATTAATACATATATTTATATTTAATTTTTAAATAAGAGGTTTAGGGCATGTCGGATCCTCCATTCAGAGACGGAACCGACCCGATGCTCGGCGACAATAATGAATCGGAGCCGTTTAATTACAGAATTTTTAACAGGTAATCAATTTTAATAAAGCTGTTTAATTTATTCTATGTATAATGAGCTATAACGAGTATTAGATGAGGCTTGAGATTTTCACAGTATTTTAAAAAAATAACTAACCATGTTTTAATTTAATTAAGCAACAAATAATTAAATAAAGGTTGGGGTTATAATTATTTTATTCTTACAATGTATATTAAATAATCCATTTAAAGCTTAATGCACGTGGTTTCTACATGCAATTTTAAAAATTAAGTAAAAAGATGATCAAATAATAAACACAAGTTTCTATTAAATTATCAAACGCTTTCGATGCTAGCATATTCATTCGTGGCCTACCACATTTAAGGATTTGCGTCAGTGTAAGCGAAGGATTCCTTTTTTAAATATACCATGTAAAATAAGCAACGTCAAAGGAAAATATAGATTTGCCACATGTCTTTTAAGCATACGAAATATCATCGCTAATATGTATAGAATGGAATAACCCTTCAGCGAGTGAGATTTCCTCTCATTCCCGAAGCCAAGATATACCAAACTTTTGAGTTATTAAGCGAAGCGTTTGCCTTGGCTATAAATAAATAATCAAATTTAAGCTTATTACACCGAGGCTTATATGACTTATATGCCTCTTAAAAAAATTATAAACTACGAATCAAATAGTAAATATAAAAATTTTATAAAATTTTATTCAAGCTAAAAACTTTAATGGCTTTCCACTTATGCGTTAGCATGTGAAAAAGATTAATCAATATTTAATAAAAACCGAAATCCCAGTTTGGTAAAATATTAAGATGTTTATATAATATATCTAGCATGTGAATTTCACTTCATCTTAACATTTTGATGTGATGTGGATATCGTTTTGTACCGTTTGTGTGATTTCTGCTGTGGATGAGAATGAAAAAAAAGAAAAAGAAAAAAAAACTTTCATTCAAGAAAAAATGAATGAAGTATAGGGTATTTTTAAGAATTTGCATGGATTAATGGAAATTTGGGGAAATATTGGAGGATTTCGATGTATGTATCAAGCGTTATATTGGTATATCGGTGATTTGATATCTAGGGATCTGATGTTGTTAACGATACTTCGAAGAAATTCGGGGATCAAAGGGAACCATGACCGAAGCATGATTTTTCAATATTGTTTGTATATTTATATACTATTTAGCAATATTCTATTAATTCTATTAAACATATTTCTACCATGAATTGATAATTATTTATGTCTGTTTCGTTTAATTTTTGAAATAAAATATTTATTTCCTACTCGTATCTTTAAAGATGCACTTAAAGTGTTCGGAAAAATGTCCTTCAAAATAATTTTCCCATATTTTGATATATCCTTTCGAGACGGTATTTAGCAATATTGACCTTTTATTTACTATGAAATACTTTCATTATAAAATATTTAAATAATACATGGATATACATAGATATCTGGGAGTTTTTATATTTTTTAAATTTTTAAATAAATTTACATTATTATTAAAATAATTTTTAAATTAATTTATAATGAATTTAATAAGTGTTTTAACATTTTTAATTTTCAATTCGATATTATGGAGTTTAATTAATTCTGTTAAAAATAATAAAAATCAAAACGAGTTAAAGGGAGTTGAGGAAACTTCAAAGGATTTAAATAAAATATTTAATGATGGGGCTGAATCATCGGTTGCTCCTCGAGTTTATGAATATAAAGAAAAGTTGAATTCTGAAGCTAAAATTTCAAAAAATGAAAAATCTGCAGATATTTATGAAGAAAAAAAGTTGAAGAAAAAAGAATATATGAAGAATTACTATCTGAATAATAAATCAAAGAAGAGGGAATATGATCGAAATTATAACCAAAATAATAAGGAAAAAAGACTAAAATACAATGAAATTAATAAAGAGAAGAAAAGAGAAAATAATAAGGAATACTACCAGAAAAATAAAGAAAGGTTAGATGCAAATCGGAAAGCAAATCGGAAAAATAAAAATAATAAAGGAAGGAAAAGCGGTGAAGGAAGTTCATTTGCCAATCCACAGAATAAAGAATGGGAAAATAAAGGAAGAGAGCAGATTGTCTCAAGAGAAAGCCCTCAGTTAGAGCAAGGGGTTATTCATGAAGGAGGTAGTCCATCTAATTTACAAAAGGATAATTGTGATGATAATTTAATGAATTTTCATAATGTTCAAGAAAATGTTCAAGATGGGCAGCATAATCAACAAAATACTGATTTTGATGATTTTGATACTACGAATCTTTTAAAAGATACGAATTTTCTGGATTATTTGAATGAAATTCTTGGATCAAAAAGTGATTGAGAATTTTTATATTGAATAAATACAATGAATCCTTTATTTTCTATAGTTATTTCTATTCAACTGTTTCTTTCACTGATCTTTAAATAAATATCAAAAATATTATTCTTGATTTATGCTTAAAGGGAATTGAACTCTTATGCTTTCCATACACAATACATTGTAATTATTTCATTTTATTGAAATTTCTTAAACTTTAACAAGTTTATATCGTATTTTTAGCTTATATGATTTAAATAAAAAAATAAAATTCTTATCCTAGTAATCTTTTTAAATCAGTTGATATTGAAAACAGTTGATATCCTTCTTCACTTACTTCCATGGGGGCTTTCTATTAGAAAGTGTTAGGTATGTGTGGGTCTAGTATAAAAGGAGTCGTTAGAGATCAGTCTTGGTCGACACCTGGGTCGACCGGCGCCGTCTGTCCTTATTCATTCTTGCCTTTTGCCACCTTCATTATTGTTGTATTTACCATTCGGATAAACGTTATATTCTATTCCTGTGTTAGTCTGTTTGTCACTAGGTAAGACCGCTAACCTAGGACATAACAGAAAGGGAAGTCAAATGGAAGGAGAAGATATTTTTCGATTAGTAAATTTTAAAATTCGAAAAAATTTTCTGCTAGCAAATTCACTAGCAATAAAGGTAGATATGAAAAATGCTAGAATCGAATTCGAAATCGGAGATAATATTTCGGATTCTATACTTATTTCTTAGAATTTCTAAAATTATTTCATGCATTTCCTACTTTTATTATTTTTATAATTTAAATTTGGGATATAAAGAGTGTATTGAAAGAGAAAAAACCGCATTAGTTTGTTCAATGTTTTTTAGCCGTAGGGATAGAATAAAGTGGATTTAGGGTAATGAGAAATTTTTTTCTTTACACATTTCTGCGAGAAAGGAATAAAAAAGGAAAAGTGGCTAAAATTTGTTCAAACGACGGCGGATTTGATCGACAAAAATTGAAGGAAGGCTTTTTTTCTTTTCTCATTGATTTATTTATTAAGCTACCGGTCATTTCAAGGAGCCATTTTATTTTAAAAATAAAAAATAATTTAAAAAATAATTTATTTTTGTTTAAATTTAGTAAGCTAATCCAATTTTATTAAATTCCACTCCCTTAATGAGTCTAAAAATGTATTTAATTAAGATTTCATCCCGATGTTTTTTTCGTAATTTCATCGCAACTGTATTACTTACTGTACACTGATCCTTACCATCACTGAAATCCCTGAAACCAGGCAGAAATTTTTTGATAAAATCGTTTCTAATTTACAGTAAGGATATGTCCTTACATATGTTTTCAACAGATAAAGCCAGCTCCTGATTTTTTCAATCTCAATACGTTAAAGTCCAACACTCCTTTATAATTAATCTCCAAGTTCTCTCCAATGTGATTTTAAAATTCTAACTTATACATATGTATAATCAATTAGAAATTTAAAAAATTACTTCCACAGAAATATGTATCGAACTATTTTTACAATTCTTCTTCCCTTTATTATCACCAAATCTATAATTGCTTCATTTTGTGGCAAATCAGGCGTTCCCTACAGCCTTGAAATTCTGTCAAATGGAGCACCCGTACTTGGCTGTGCCCAGCCAAGTTGTGTGATTTATGCGGTGGATGAGAATGGAGAATTTCAAGAAGACAGTCAATTTCTTACGGATGCTAATGGTCAATCCGATGGATTTTTCCGTGAAGGCGACAGGGCAGTGAAGCGTTATAGACATCCTTCTGGTGCTAAAATAGTGGCAGTAAGTTATTAAAATATTAACTCTCATTCTTCAGTATTTGTATGAAAAAAAAGTAGAGTTGATCAAGACGAGACCGATACCGAGACCGATACCGAGATTCTCGGCTTTTTTCCAATATCGGTCTCGGTTTTTTCATTCTCGGTCTCGAAACCGATACCGATATTCTCGGCCCATTTCTCAGCGAGAAACGATACTGACTCAAAGAAACAAAATTCTCAATATTGTCCAAATTTTCGTCCATATTTTTTTCGGATATCCGTCCATAACAGAGAAAGTGAATTTTTTTCACATAAGGTCTTCTAAAATTCAAAAAATTTTCGCCTGCGGCGCTGAAAAAGGAAAAATTTGGTGACTTGGCCTTCCAAAATTTAATAAATTTTCGTCTGCGGCGCTGAAATGTTGAATTTTCCGAGCCCTCGGCCGTTAGATTTTCAAGATTTTGATTACAGAGCCTTCCGATTTTCGGCAACTGTTGTTCTCACCAGTGGATTAAGGGGACTTAAAGCGATCGGAAGCAGGGATGAGCGCATTGAGTTTTGCGTATCTGAGGGCAAAAATTGGAAAAAATCTGGCTTTATGCCTTCTAAAATTCTCAAATTTTTGTCTGCGGCGCTGAAAATGAGAAGAATTTTGGCTTTATGGACTTTCAAAACTACAAATTTTTGCCTGCGGCGCTGAAATAATGGTTTGGTTAACCGAAATTTTCACTTCGGCCATCTGCGGATATCCGCGGATGGATATGCCTCAAAAGTTGTAAGGATATAATTGAATACGGATGTCGACCTCACGAATATACCTATTCGGATACTGACACAAAAATTAGTATCCATTGCCAAGCCAGATCGGATCCAGATGATGAAGAGTATTTATCTGATGATTTGGATGATGAAAATAATGAATAAATTATTTTTACACGTATTTTTTGACATAAAATAAAAATTTCTGTTAGTCTCGGTCAGTATCGTTTCTCGGTATCGGTCTCGGCTCAAAATGTTGGTATCGGTCTCGATATCGGGTTCTTGAGTATCGGTCAATCTCGGTCTCGGGTTGGCCGATACCAGTATCGTTTTGATCAACTCTAAAAAAAAGCCTAAATTCGAAATAAATACTCCTTAGATTTTTAATGGCGAAATTTAATTGTAGATTAATAGGTTACTTTACCCAGTTAATTTTTTCTGGGATTTCTTTGTTATAAAGGAACATCCAAAAATAACTCAATTTCCATATTCCTCGATTATGTAATTACATCCCCTTATTTCGAATACTTTTTCGCTCTCAAATAAGTACTCACACTAGCGTGAAAGTGAAGCATTAATTACTAAGGGTTATTAGCGAAAAGTTTTCTATTTTTTGAATTATTAAAATTCTCAACTTAAATTTATATAGAATTGCTCTGGTCAATTCAATGAACTTTCTTGCCCACGCCGTAATCAATGGGTTGGAGGGATTGAATATATTGATCACCCAAGACAACCGTAAATTTTTCTAAAAATTTTGTTAGAAATCTGTAATTTATCAGAGAAAAATTTATTTGAGGATGGATAATATTAAAAAACATCATACTTACAAAAATATTAGACAGAAAATTATAACTTTATGTAATCGTGGGGGAAATTGAATACACCGGCATAATTAAAATTTAACGAATCTATCTTTTATAAGAAATTCAATTTAACAGACTCATTTTGCAATGCTGTACCTTTGAAGGCCTTCGCTTCTCCCAAGAAGTAGGCTCGACAAGTATTGGCCCAGGAGAAGCAATTACTGGAGGAGAGGTTGTAAGGGGCGGAAGGCAAATTTCTTTCGATGTGATTGCTAATGTTCGAAAAATTGTTAAGCATGGAGAGGGGCCGGAAGGAAGCAAGATGTCTTATGAGGTGTGTTTATAATAAAAAATTATAGTGAAAATGATAATATAATCATTTTTAATGTTTAATATTTCTTAAAATTTGAAAAATATACATCTTCTTAAGGTTACTGTACGCCGAATGAATTGTTTGCCTGATCCACCCGAGACAGAAGTTGAATGTAATTAATAAAAAGAATTCTTCTGTTATATTTAATAAAAATTCCAGTTGATTTGGATGTTGCCAGTGAAGTTAGCAAGATATTGGTTGGGGCTGGTAATAAAGAAATCACAGACAAATTGAATGAAGGAAAGAAACAACAACAAATCTCTCCCAAATTTAGAAACGAAAAACAAAAACAAAAAATTGAAAAATTGCCAGAAATAAATGGAGGGGAAGATAGGAAGTTTTTAGCCCCAAACAACGTCCATCCGCGTATAATGGCTCCATCTTCTCGAAATTTGCAACAATTTATTGGTCAAAATTCGGGGAATAATATTGAGGAATTGCCTCCATCTCAACAACAATTTCAAAATTTAAATAATCAACAACAATTTGTTGAACAACAAGGATTTCAGCAACAGCAACAACAATTCCCTCCTTCTCAACAATTTCCTTCTCAATTTGTTTCGGAAGGTCAAAGAGTAGGAGAACAAGTATTTCAAGTAAGACATTAATGTAATTATTAGGGCTGTAATATTTGTGCGAAATTACAAAATAGCTATAGGTATCAGGGTTGCCGCGGGTACAAAAAATCTTCGGGTACGTGTTTCGAGTATCGGGGTTTCGAGTTGGAAAATTTTCTTTTCGGGTATCGAGCTTCGGGTACAAAAAAGGCCGGGTATCGGGTTTCGGGCGGCAACCCTGAAAGTGATATCGGCATGTTAAAAATAACTTAAAATTGCGCAGACACTAAAATTAATTAATTATGTTCTATTTATGCAAACAAAATTTAAAAATTTTATCAAAAAATTTCAACCTAAAGAAATTAAATAAAAGCTAGCTTTGCAAGTAGAAACTCCGTTTCTAGAAGAATTCGCTTCCCTTATACTATATTTGAATATATATAGCTTTACTCGGGTTCTACTATTCTGGGGGCTTCTATTAGCTGGACTACATATTTAAATATTTCTTTATTCTATTCAATTTATTTATTCTCCATATAAATATGGGATACATTAATAAGGGAGAGAAATGGTTAGGCCAAATCTGATAATGAGAAGAAGGTTGGGTATTCATAGAGACAAATTAATGGTCAAGATATAAACAAAAAATGAATAACAAAATTAAGATAAGGAACGAAAATTGGATGATAACGTCGGGAGACCTTTTATTTAGAAAAAGGTCAACTTTATTTTTCATGTGAAAATAAAAATTGTTTATTTGATTAAGCGAATGCAGCACTTTACAAGAGATATACTCTCATACCAAACATGAGTTAGATAATACCTAATAATCTCAAAAATTAATCTTGCAAATTTATTCGACAATCATTCAGCCCTTAAAACAATCAATTCAGCCCTTAATAGAAAAAAAAGAATGATGTTTTTGAAATAAAAATATTTCAGAAATTAAAGAAAAGAATTTAAATTTTTTTCGTATAAATTCGTACAAAAATTTCGGAAAATTAAATTAAGAAAAATAAATATGAAAAAGTATCTGTACATCATTTTGTTTGAAGAATAGTTCCATACAGCTATAATTATTTAAAGAAAAGATCAAATATAGAGAACGGGAAGATATATTCTTTGTGTTTTCTTATTTAAAATTAATCCAATTGTTTATCTGAAATGTCTTCAGGAATTAAGAATAGAATTTAGATAATCTAAAAAATTCGAATCATTCATTAAACTCAAATCAATTAAATCATCATGATCCTCCAATTGTTGAGTATGAAGGCCATCAGCTGATTGAACATTTGGTTGTCCAGTTAAATTATTTACACAATCATTCGTCTTTGGATTAATAGATGAAGTTTCTTCAGTATCTAATTGAACATTTCCTTGTTCTGGATTTTGTAAATTATTTAGTACACCCTCATCCTTCTGTGGATTAATAGATGAAGTTCCTTCAGTATTATCATTTCCTTCCTTATTATTTACCTGAACATTCTCGTTACATTCAATCGGCGATTTACCTTTATTAATAGTATAATTATCATTCTGTTCTTTTTCACTTTTTCTTTTTAAATTATAATTTTTATTATATTCTTTTTTTGCTAAGTTCTGTCCATCCTCATTATTTCCTGTAGCTTCCTTTCTAATAAAATCATCGTTTCGTCGTGTAGTATCAAAAGAAGTTTCTTCATTATTATCAGGTTGAATGTCTACTAATTCTGACATATCCTTTTGTAGGATTTCTCGTTCCTTTTTCTTCTTTAGATAGTATTTTCGTTTATATTCGCGAGTCTTTACTTTATTATTTTGTTGATAATTTCGTTTATTCTGAACCACTTTATCTCTATTCTTTTGATAGTAATCCATCTTATATTGTAGAATTTTTTCTTTATTATCTTGTCGATAATTTCGATCATATTTTCGCTTTTTCTCTTTTTGTTTTGGAGAGTTCCTCTTTTCTTTTAATTTATCTTTGTTCGTTAGTTTATAATTTCGATTATAATCTTGTTTCTCCTTTTTGTGTTGCTGATAGTAATCCTTATTATAATCTTTTTGTTTTGACTTCGCTTCTTCTTTATTTTCAGTTTTGTGCTTTTTTGTAATTTTGGTATTGATCTTTAAAGTTTCTCTATATTTTTCAATTTGGGGAACAACCGATGATTCAGCCCCATCATTTAATATTTTATTTAAATCCTTTGAAGTTTCCTCAGCTCTATTTAACTCATTTTCATTTTTATTATTTTTAACAGAATTAATTAAACTCCATAATATCGAATTGAAAACTAAAAGTATTAAAACACTCAAAATATTCATCCGAGATAAATAACAAAAATTTATTTAAGATTAATTTAAGTGATTTTTCTTTATTCTAAGATAATTTATTTTATATAAATTTCATTCAGACATATATCTAAACATTACTTAATATCTTTCAAAATCATAAAGGGCAACTGCTAGACATAATATCTTTCAAAAGCTCATTTTGGCTTTTAAAATTTCTAAAAATATGGAAAATAACAGATATCGTTGAATTATAAGTGCAATTTCGAAAAATATTTTTAAGATATTTTTATTTGTATTATACCAAAAAGGACAATATGGGAGTAATAATGATAAAATTTGAAAAGAAATGAAATACATGTAAATAAAATCAAAAGTCCCGGTTCGAATCCGAAGCAATATTTTGCCGCGAACTATGTGCCGCGAACCAGCTATAATTATGTAAAGAAAAGATCAAATATAGAGAACGGGAAGATATTTTTTTTGTGTTTTCTTATTTAAAATTAATCCATTTGTTTATCCGAAACATCTTCAGGAATTAAGAATAGAATTTAGATAATCCAAAAAATCCGAATCTTCCAATAAACTCAAATCTATTAAATCATCATGATCCTCCAATTGTTGAGTATGAAGGACATCAGCTGATTGAACATTTGTTTGTCCATAAGGGCAAGCATTTGTGTCAGTTAAATTAGCTACATAACTATCCGTCTGTGGATTAACTAATGAAGTTCCTTCAGTATTATTATTTTCTTCCCTATTATTTACCTGAACATTCTCGTTACATTCAATTGACGATTTACCTTTATTAATAGTATACTTATCATTTTGTGAATTTTCTTTTTCGTTCTGTAGAGTAGCAAAAGAAGTTTCTTCATTATTATCAGGTTGAATGTCTACTAATTCTGTCATATCCTTTTGTAGGATTTCTCTTTCCTTTTTCTTCTTTAGACGGTATTTTCGTTGATATTCGCGAAGCTTTTCTTTATTATTTTGTTGATAATTTCGTTTATTTTGAACCACTCTATCTCTATTCTTCAGATAGTAATCTTTACTATATTGTAGCCTCTTTTCTTTATTATTTTGGTAGTAATTTCGATCATATTTTCGACTTTTCTCTTTTTGTTTTGGAGAGTTCATCCTTTCTTTTAATTTATTTTTGTTATTTTGTTTATAATTTCGATTATAATCTTGTTTCTCCTTTTTGTTTTGCTGGTAGTAATCCTTATTATAATCTTTTTGTTTTGACTTCGCTTCTTCTTTATTTTCAGTTTTGTGCTTTTTTGTAATTTTGGTATTGATCTTTAAAGTTTCTCTATATTTTTCAATTTGGGGAACAACCGATGATTCAGCCCCATCATTTAATATTTTATTTAAATCCTTTGAAGTTTCCTCAGCTCTATTTAACTCATTTTCATTTTTATTATTTTTAACAGAATTAATTAAACTCCATAATATCGAATTGAAAACTAAAAGTATTAAAACACTCAAAATATTCATCCGAGATAAATAACAAAAATTTATTTAAGATTAATTTAAGTGATTTTTCTTTATTCTAAGATAATTTATTTTATATAAATTTCATTCAGACATATATCTAAACATTACTTAATATCTTTCAAAATCATAAAGGGCAACTGCTAGACATAATATCTTTCAAAAGCTCATTTTGGCTTTTAAAATTTCTAAAAATATGGAAAATAACAGATATCGTTGAATTATAAGTGCAATTTCGAAAAATATTTTTAAGATATTTTTATTTGTATTATACATAAAGGGCAAAATTTGAAGTAATAATGATGAAATTTGAAAAGAAATGAAATACAAGTAAATAAAATCAAAAGACCCGGTTCGAATCCGAAGCAATATTTTGCCGCGAACTATGTGCCGCGAACCAGCTATAATTATGTAAAGAAAAGATCAAATATAGAGAACGGGACGATATATTTTTTGTGTTTTCTTATTTAAAATAAATCCATTTGTTTATCCGAAATTTCTTCAGGAATTAAGAATAGAATTTAAATAATCCAAAAAATCCGAATCATCCAATAAACTCAAATCAATTAAATCATCATGATCATCCATTTGAGTATGAAGGCTGTCAGGCAGTTGAACATTTGGTTGTTCATAAAGGCAAGCATTTGTGTCAGTTAAATTATTTACACAATCATCCGTTTGTGGATTAACACATAAAGTTCCTTCAGCATTTTCGTTTCCTTCCTTATTATTTATCTGAACATTCTCGTTACATTCAATCGGGGATTTACCTTTATTAATATAATTATCATTTTGTGTATTTTCTTTTTCATTCTGTGGACTAACAAAAGAAGTTCCTTCATTATTATCAGGTTGAATCTTTCCTAATTCTGTCATATCCTTTTGTAGGATTTCTCTTTCCTTTTTCTTCTTTAGACGGTATTTTCGTTGATATTCGTTAAGCTTTTCTTTATTATTTTGTTGGTATTTTCGTTTATTTTGAACCACTCTATCTCTATTCTTAATATAATAATCTTTACTATATTGTAGACTCTTTTCTTTATTATTTTGGTAGTAATTTTGATCATATTTTCGACTTTTCTCTTTTTGTTTTGGAGAGTTCATCCTTTCTTTTAATTTATTTTTGTTATTTTGTTTATAATTTCGATTATAATCTTGTTTCTCCTTTTTGTGTTGCTGGTAGTAACCCTTATTATATTCTTTTTGCTTTAACTTTTTTTCTTCTTCGTTATTTTCAGTTTTGTGCTTTTTTGTAATTTTGTTATTTGTCTTTAAATTTTCTCTATATTTTTCAATTTGGGGAGCAACCGATGATTCAGCCCCATCATTTAATATTTTATTTAAATCCTTTGAAGCTTCCTCAACTCTAGTTAACTCCTTTTCATTTTTATTATTTTTTACAGAATTAACTAAACTCCATAATATCGAATTGAAAATTAAAAAGATTAAAACATTAATAAATTTCATTCTAAATTAATATTTTTATTAATTTTTAAAAATTAATTTAAAGAATTAACCTAAAATAATAAATTTAATTTGACTTTATGTAAAAGAAAATATAGTTAAAATATGTAATACAAGTAAATTATTATTTAATGACGAAATATTTTCAATTAATCCCAGACATTTTAATATACACTTATTCTAAGAGAGGAAAGTGCATTTCCTAATAATTTTTTAATCTGATGAAATCCATTTTCTATTGCCTTTTTATTTAAATATTTTTTTTCTTTCTTTAACTTGATTTATTTATCAAATATTGAAAGTAAATTTTAGAATTTTTGACTAAAGGGAATGAATATTCATGGATTGCTGTAATTGGAGAGCCTCTTTAAAATAGAACCAACTTTAGATTTAATGTATGTATTATGGGGCTAGATATATTTCAAAAATAATGTATCTTAGTTGATCTAATAAAGCAAATCTTTAAGGGGTTGACTCTTGGAAGAGTAAAAGCTTCGTTATCATTAAATTAAAATCATTTTCTGCCAAGCTCTTATTTAAATTCATTATTCTTCATTTAATTTGCTTTATTCAAAAAAATATTTGTCGGAAATGTACTTTCATTTCCATGAATATTAATTCCCTTTAGTCAAAGATTTTAGAATTTTTCTTTCAATATCTGATAAATAAATCAAATTAAAGAAAGAAAGAAAAATATATTTAAATAAAAAGGCAATAGAAATTGGATTTATCAATTTCATAAGCCTGATTGACCTTTATAACTATATAAATCTACATATATATTTTCTCTTATCAAATGAAATAAAGCTTTTTCAAAATTATATTTTTTAATTCAAAAGTAAAATTTTTGGGAAATGCACTTTCTTCTCAAACCGCTTTATAGAATAGTTGTATATTAAATTGTCTGGGATTAATTAAAAATATTTCGTCATTAAATAATTATTTACTTGTAAATATTTATTACATACATATTTTATATAGATTTTATTTAAATAAATTACATTTATTATTTTAGTTTAATTCTTAAAATTAATTTTTTAAAATAAAGCCTTTAAATTAATTTATGATGAAACTTGATTGTATTTTAATCTTTATAATTTTCAATTCGACATTATGGAGTATAATTAATTCTGTTAAAAATAATAAAAATCAAGACGAGTTGTTTAGAGTTCAGGAAAACTCAGAGGATCTAAATAAAATATTAAATGATGGGGCTGAATCATCGGTTGCTCCCCAGATTGAAAAATTTAGAGTAACTCTGAAACCAACTTCCAAAATTACAAAAAAGCACAAAACTGAAAATAATAAAGAAGAAACGAAGTTAAAGCAAAAAGAATATAATAAGGGTTACTATCAGCAACATAAAAAGGAGATACTAGATTATAATCGAAATTATAAACTAACGAACAAAGATAAATTAAAAGAAAAACGGAACTCTCCAAAACAAAAAGAGAAAAGTCGAAATTATGTAGCAAAACACTATCAAAATAATAAAGAAAAGAAGCTTAAATACAATAAAGATTGCTATCAGAATAATAAAGATAGAGTGGTTCAAAGAGTACTAAAATACAATCAAGATAATAAAGAAAAGATTCGCGAATATAAACGAAAATACTATCTAAAGAAGAAAAATGAACGAGAAATCATACAAAAGGATAGGTCAGAATTAGGAAAGATTCAACCTGATAATAATGAAGGAACTTCTTTTGTTAGTTCACAGAACGAAAAAGGAAATTCACAGAATGATAATTATATGAATAAAGGTAAATCGCCAATTGAAAGTAACGAGAATGTTCAGTTAAATAATAAGGAAGGAAATGATAATATTGAAGAAAATTCATTTGTTAATCCAGAGATGGATGAGGGTGTACTAAATAATTTACACAATCCAGAACAAGAAAATGTCCAAAAATTAGATGATGGACATCCAATCCCACAAATGGGCGAAATGACTGATTTAGAATATATTAGATTTTTGAATGATCTAAATTTTTTGGATAATCAGAATTTCTTATTTTGAGAGGAAATTTTCATATACCAATTTTAATAAATTTTATTAACACTAAATACTAAATATAAACTTTGACACCAAATTAATAACATAAAATATGTTCTTCCGTTCTATATCATTCTTTTGATTAAATCACTTTTCCTTTTCCAATTTGTTTAATTAAAGATTAAAATATTATTTTTTATTCACCATAGTGTGCCTTAACAAGTTTAAAAAGAATATATTGTTGACAATAATTTTAACAATATTTAGGATCACAAGTTTATTCAATATATCCCAAAAAGAAAATAGTGTGAATTTAGAGAAGTAAAGAATGCAATGAGATTTTTTAGAATTTGTTTTGTATTTTTTGGGTTTTTTGCTCAGTTCTATTTGTTTTTTTTGTTTTTATTTGTTAAATGATTGTATTTTAGGTTTTTAACTTTGGTATCCGTCTGATAAGTGGTTTTCCATAATGGATGAGAAAAGAGCCAAATGAAAAGTGTCCAGTAAATTGTCAGGGAAAAGGTTCCGTAATGTCTGAAAAGACTTTTTAATTGATGGAAGTAAAGTTTACAGAATAGTCAACAAAAAGGGTCTTTAATGAGCAAAAGAAGATTGACAATGTGATGAAAAACGGTCCCACAATGGTTTGAGAGAGGGATCCATCAGTGGTTGAGATAAGTGTCCGGCATTAGTTAGAAAAAAAGGTACCTCAATGTGTGTGATAGTATATGTATGAGATAAATGAGTTAGTCTAACTAGATAGTCTGACATAGTGTGTACTAAATAGTTGACAGTTCTTAAATAGTTGATAATTGAAAATTGAGAATTGAGGTTGAGAATTGATAAGGTGATAAAAATAATTTGATAGTTGAAAAGTATCACCTCTATTGTAATATTTGCGCTCATTGTATACATATAGTATAAACAACAGATTTTTGTACATCTATCCATATTTATAATCATTGCTCACTTGCCATTCTCAATTTTAGTAATATATTATTTCAAACATCAATTGTTGAAATTCACCTTTTAGGAATATTAAGTAGTAGGAACTAAAACAAGTTAAAATTAAAAACATTTTAATCCACAAATGAATAACTTAACGTAAAAAGCCTTAGGACTTTAGTACGCTTCAACACACATTTAAAAAATTCACTTATAATAATTTATTATTTGGAATAAAATTTTGTATCAAAGTCCTAAGGCTTTCTACAGAATATTGAAACGTACTAAAGTCCTAAGGCTTTTTACGTTAATTATTTATTTGTGAATTAAATTAAATTGGTTTAAATTCTAACTCGTTTCAGTTCCTACTACTTAATATTACTAAAAGGTGAATTTCAACAGGTGGCACACTTAAAAATACACTTAATCTAGCATTATTTATTAATTTTCAGTAATATTTGAATCATCATTCAACTTTGAATTCATCTTTTTATTCAATAAACCTCGTACTCTCTTCTCCAATTGAATGATTAGGATTTAATTAGTTAATGATAAACCTTCAAAAAATTATTTCAAAATATTTATAAAAAATTTTCTGATATTTAAATAGCTCTTAAAAACTTGTTGATCGGTCGGTATTGTCCGGATGTTATTGAAATTTTTTAAATATTTAATAGTTTAGTTTAGTTCAAAAATATGCACTTTTACTTCATTCATATTTTTAAATATTTAAAAAAGATTGTTTGAGATTTCATAATTTGTCTGTCATTGACTCAACTAGATTTATCCTCCTTTTAATTTAAACGCATCTCAATCGGATAGATAAACACTTTTATAAAATTTAAAGGACGATATTAGTTCTGTTAAAAATATATTTTTAAAAAAATCTGAATTGTCTAGTTGTTTGTATAGTTCCCAAAAATTTTCATTGCTGTAAACTATATTTTCTTAATTTTTGTCAATTAATTTAGGATGAAACTTGATAGCGTTTTAATCCTTTTAATTTTCAATTCGATATTATGGAGTTTAATTAATTCTGTTAAAAATAATAAAAATCCAAACGAGTTAACTAGAGTTGAGGAAACTTCAAAGAATTTAATTAAAGAATTAAATGATGGGTCTGAATCGTCGGTTGCTCCTCAAAGTCAAAAAAATGAAGGAATATTCAAACAGAAATCAAGTATTTCGAATACTGAGAAAAGAAGGTTAGAGAAAAAAGAATACTACCAGAATAATCGAGAAAAGTTTCTTGAATCTAGCCGGGAAAACTATAAAAAGAATAAAGATACTCAAAATTTTAAGGAAAGGAAACGTGAATATATGAAAAATTACATCAAGGTTAATAAAGAAAAGAGGAAAGAAAAGTTAAGAGAGAATAATAAAAAATATTATTTAAAAAGAAAATATAAAAAAGAAAATTCACAGAATGATAATTATATCAATAAAGATAAATCGCCAATTGAATGTAACGACAATGTTCAGATAAATAATAAGGAAGGAAATGATAATACTGAAGAAAATTCATTCGCTAATCAACAGATGGATGAGGGTGTATTAAATAGTTTACATAACCCAGAACAAAAAAATGTCCAACAATTAGATGAAGGACATCCAATTCCACTAAATTGCGAAATGAATGATTTAGAATATCTTAAGTTTTTGGATGCTCTAAATTTTTTGGATAATCAGAATTTTTTATTCTGAAGTGAAATTTTCAGATCACCAAATTTAATAACATAAAATGTGTTTTCCTTTCTCTATCATCATTTTAAGTAAATCAATTTCCTTTTCTAATTTGTTTAATTAATGATAAAAATATTATTTTCTTTTCACTTTGGAGTGCTGTAACAATTTTAAAAATTTGCGGGCGAAGGATTGTTGTCGAAGAAAAAAGTCTTGTATTATGATAGGCCAGACACGCGTTGTTCCAAGTTCCTTGGGCATAAAAGGGAAGTAGTACAATTATTTTTATAATTCCAAACAAGGGCATTATCAGACTTTCTTACAAGGGTATCATCAGACTTAATGATTAACATTGATATTTTTAATAAATTATATTTTAATATCCCAAATTTTAGCCTCAAGATGGTCAACAATTCCCACAACAATTTCAGCAAACAAGCGGTGCTGGAGGCAGTTTTCCTCAAATTCCAAATGATTCTGTCACTCAATTGGCTTCAACACCAGCTCCGTTGTTTGGACTTATGTCAATGCCCACTCATTCTTTCCCCACTTTACCTCCACATACTTTCCCTCCAATGTTAGAACATTCATTTCCAACTTTACCTCCCCATACCTTCCCGACTCATTCATTCCCCACACTTCCTCCCCACACTTTCCCTACCCATTCTTTCCCCACACTTCCACCTCATACCTTCCCAAGCCTTCCAACTCACTCCTTCCCAACACTTCCCCCACATACATTCCCTCCCCACTCCTTCCCTACTCTTCCGCCCATGTTTGGAGTTACTACAACTGCATCTCCAACATTTGGAGACTCCTCTGGTAGAGCTGTTGCTTTTGCTGCACCTTCTGTTTCTGCTAGTTCCTCAGCTGGGCGTACAACATTTGGACAACAATCAGATGGTTCGCAAGCTCATTACAACCCACACTCTCCAATGCGTCGAGACGTAAAATTTTGTTAAAAATTTTATTTGAGGAAAAATTAAATTTAAAATTAATTAACTACATATAATAATTAAATATATTATTTGAAAATTCATGGGGTATTTTCGCTAAGTTAAAATAACTCATTAAAAGTTTCTCTAAATTCATTATTATCTTCTCTTTCAGCAATCAGGATTGCCTACCGGACATCAATCACCTCCAAGAATGGCGCCAGCAATGGGCACAGTATTGGCAGCAATGCAAGGGGATCGGTTTCCGATTATGCATCCCGTCCTAGGATTAATTGGTTATTCTAATGCTCCACAGCCCGGACAACAAATGGGATGAAAATTTTATGAAAAGCTTATTATTTATTTATTGGGGTGGGACTTGAGTAATTTTCAATTTGTAAATTTATTTGGTTTATAAAATTTTTTTAAAAACTAATTTTTATATTCAAGCTGTCCAACGAAACAAACTGTAAATAAATTATGTTTAAATTTATGGTAGTCTAAAATTGAAAAATATTGGGACAAATTCGGTTTAGGTAGATTAAATTTTTTGGTCATTATTTTTCAAAAGTTTGTCATCGAAAACTAGCAAGTTCCGAAGGTAAAAAAATTAAAAAAGAAGTCCTCCTCTGTGTATCGAAACTAGAGGTCGGCAAAATCGCACTTCCGGGATCCCGAGTCGGGATTTTATTACTTATCCGAGGCCGAGACGGGATCCCGAGGGATAAATCAGAAAAAAATCCCGGATGATCCCGAAAATCAAAAAAATCCGGAATTTCGGGATCGAATCCGGAAAATCCCGTCGGGATCCCATCCCGCGCCGACCTCTAATCGAAACCCCGATATATCGTCATCTTGTGTATAGCACCATTTTTATGGTTGACCCTTTGTATTGAATGGAAAATATTGGAAAATATTCGGATTAAAATTTGGATTATTTTAATAAACTTACATTTATCCCTAAATTTATTTATTTGTAAAATTGAATAAGTCAACAGCTTAAAAAAGTGTTTGATTCTCCCTACAAAATAATTTTCTTCTCTCCTTTCTTGATCACATAAATAGATGATTTTGCGAATAAATCTTGCGGACTTTCATGAGCATAAAATAAAATAATATGCTTTAATCCCCTTTTGTTTCCGCTGCTTATCTTTTCCTTATGCAGTCATCCGAGGCGAATATTAAATATTTATTTGTTGTCGCAAACAATTTGAATAATAATGTTTAATATATTTGGGTCATTCTCCATCGGTTTGTCCCCCAAAAACATTTTTTCTCTTTTCTCAAAAATTCCCGCAATTCTTTCAAAATATTCCAAACAAATTCTAATCATTAAAAATGTCACCTCCTTTATGTGATAAATGTTCTGAACCCATTTCTTCATTAGAACAAGAACCTATTTCAACTGCTAGCAAACGATTGTTTCATAGAAAATGTTTTTGCTGCAGTAAGTTTTTTTCTTGTTTTTAATCTTGCTTAACATAATCAAAATTAGAATATTATTCCATATAAATAATTCTTTGACAAAGTATTTTTATGTGAAAATTTTATTTACTATAAATCATGTTAAGCCTTGTCACTCAAAACAGACCCGATTTTTCTCAATCGGCCCATCCCTGATAGAAAGACTTGTAAAGTAACGTTATTCAAAAGTTGTACATAAATTTTAATTTAGTTTTTCGATATAAAATTACTTTTCGTCTTACTAAGGTCGTAGTAACTTTCTAATTTAAGTCATGTAAAAATTATCCTTCCATTAATAGGTAAACGTCAATGTGGAAATTTGCTTCAGTTGGAAGAATATGGCGTGCACCAGGGGCAGGTCAGGAATTTGTTAAATTTAACTCTGAAAAACAAATTTAAACTCATACTTTATTTAATTAATTTCCCTCGATAATTGTTATTTCAAACTCTCACTAGGGGAGTAATTTATTCAGTGAGAGATATAACACAAATATCAAATACTTAATCTGGGATGATTGATTGAAGAGATATATTTAGAAGGATTAAAAGGGATATAGGGAATTAATTGGGATTTGAAATAATATCAGAGAAATAATAGGACTTGAATTAATGGGAACAGCATCAATTATTAATATTTGATTTTTTTCTTTAATTTAAATATTTTTTACAAATAATAAATTACTATTACGAATTACGGCATTTTTTGAGTTACGAATTACTATTACGAAATTTTTATTACGAAAACGATTACGAAAAACTTACGATTACGAAAAAAATTTTCGATTACGACGTAACTCTGGACACAACCGGGTATCAAGCTGTACCCTTGGTTTTCGGTTCTGCTTAAGTCAACCGTTGTGTCCAACCCTATTTAATACTCATCCTCAATTAATACAAATTTCTCTCATTATTTCCGTATTGTAACAATAATTTTATTATATTAAGTGTTTAATAAAATATTTCAATATTTTACCGGTGTGCGGGCATATCGGGACAGACAAATCAGGATTGGGGTGACAAAAATAATTTCTTGCGTGTTTACGTCTGTTCTAAAACATAAAAACACTATTCCTCAATAGACAATATACTATTCAAGACCCAGTAGCCGTAGGTCCCGAAATCAGTAGGGATACTGTTCGTACATTGAAATATCCCGATATTCCCGTTCCGATATATCCGCGTGCCATTTTACCGTGGTTAATGAGAACGGTAACAACCCTTTTATCAGATTTTAAAATATTTTTTTATTAAATTACTAAACATCCCATAAATATTTTTAAAGTGCAAATGTACTTTAAGATTTCTTAATTTGTCGGGCGCTTGTCTATTATCGTTTATAGGCAAATAAATACATCGAATTACATAATCGAATAAACAAAAACAGTTTATTCTTTTTATGCCACTCATAGTCTTTCTTAATTAGTAAATAAAATTAATATTTATTAAATTATTAAATTAATTTTAAATGAGACTTGATAGTGTTTTAATCGTTTTAATCTGCAATACGACACTATGGAGTTTAATTAATTCTGTTAAAAATAATAAAAATCAAAACGAGTTGACTAGAGTTGAAGAAAGTTCAAAGGATTTAAATAAAATATTGAATGATGGTGCTGAATTATCGGCTAAACCTCAAAGTGAAAAATATAAAGAAACTTTAAAACCAAAACTTAAAATTAATAAAGAGGGCACAACAGAAAATATTAATGATAACAAAAAGTTAAAGTGTAAAGAACAAAATAAAAATTACTACAAGAAGAATAAAGAACGGGTGGATAAAAAACATAAAGAATACTATCAGAAACATAAAGAACAGATAAAAGAATATAATAAAAATTATTTTCAAAATTACAAGAAAATCAACAAAGAGAAGAAACGAGAATATAGACGAAAATATCAAGAAGCTAATAAAGAAAAGAATCGAGAATATAATCGAAAATACTATCTAAAAAGGAAAAATGAAAAAGAAATTTTAAAAAATGATAGTTCAAAATCTAGAAACGTTCAAGACGGTGAAGGAACTTCTTTTGTTAATCAACAGAATAATATTTGTGAAAATAAAGGAAAAGAACCGATTGTAAGCATTGAGAATGTTCAGTTAGATCAAGCAAACAATCATTTTCAAAATGTATCTCCAACTCAATCCTCTCATAAAGAGGGAAATTTATTTGTTAATTCACAGATGAATGACTGTGTACAAAGTTCAAAATTAGGGAACATTCAAACTGATAATAAGGAATCATTTAATATTCAACAGAATCACGACTGTGAAAATAAAGGAAAAGAGCCGTATGTTTGCAATGAAAACGTTCAGTTAGAGCAAGAAAGTAGTAATCAAGTGGAAGAAGGCAGCCTTATTCAACCACAAAATGAAATGAATGATTTGGATTATATACGTTTTTTGAATTACCTAAATTTTTTAGATAATCAGAATTTCTGATTATAATAAAATTTCCCAGATCAACAAATAAATTATCTGTTTTTAATCGGAAACATATAAAACACAACTTTCAGTAATGTAAATATTTTTATTCCTACTTTTATTAAAAATCTTCAGGTTCTTGTCAACAGTGATCGGAACGTAACGTACTATTTACGGCCTTTACAATCGGATACGGAAGACGATACGGTAAAATTTTGAATTGTATCAGCATTAGAGATCGGCACAGGACAGGATCCCGCACAGGGTTTTTCAGGATCCTGTCCGAAATCCTGCCTTTTTTTCAGTTTTCAGGATTATCAGGATTCCAGGATTTTCAGGATTAATCCCGCAGGATCCTGTCCTGTACGAAATTTTAAAACCCAATCCTGATACAGGATCCGTCCTGTTAATTTTCACGGTTCAGGATTTTATTTTGTCGCCTGCGGTGCTGAAAAAGGACGATTTTTGTCTTCCTGGCCTTCCAAAATCTTCAAAATTTTCGCCTGCGGCGCTGAAAAAGGAAGTAATCTGGCACCAAAATCCAAAAAGTTTTGCCTGCGGGGGCTTTAAAGGGAAGTTGAATGGTATATCAAAGGATTTGGACAGATTAAGGAGTATTTTGAGTTATATCGTTGAATGAAGTTACTGGATTTTAGTGATATTCAAATATTTGAAGGGATCTAAGGATATAGCGAGGGATTTGCCCTTTCGAAGCAGCATTACTTGAACTAGGTTTTTCCTATATTACTTGGTACTTGATTTATACAACTTGAAATACCAAACCTTTGACCCAACAACGGGGGATGTTGACTCAGTGATGGGGGAAGTTGTTTCAATAGTGGGGATGACGTTCCACTGATGTGAACAACTTTCAGCGAAGAGTTAGTTAAGTCATATTAGCCAAAAATTTTCATTTTCAGCGTCGCAGACATAAATTTTGAGAAATTTTGAGATTTTTTGAAAATCCTGAAATCCTGGACAGGATCCTGGAAAAAAAATGACAGGATTGGCAGGATTTCAGGATTTTCAGGATTAATCCTGCAGGATCCTGTCCTGTTCGAAAATTTAAAACCCAATCCTGTTACAGGATCCTGCAAATGCGATTTTGCCGATCTCTAATCAGCATCGGTATTACCGTATTTTCTCGATTAATTCACCCGGGGAATTATTTTTTCAATCCTTACTTGGCATGGTGAATTAATCGAGAGGGTGAATTATTCGAGAGAGGGGAATTATTCGAGGGAGGGGAATTAATCGAGAAAATACGGTATATAAAAACCGTATATTTTTAAAGAAAATACGGTTCGGAAGACAGTACTTTACGAAATTCTTTCTGATCACTGTTACCTTATTTGCATTATCCATAAAGGGCTCATTCTTTTTGGGTCAACCCATTATTAACTCAAAAATTGTTTTTAAATTTTCTTTGTGGAACTTTAAGAAACTTGTAC